GAAAAGAAGCCTCCCCAAGGCTAAAAAATATAGGTAAAACAGCAATATTGTGAAATATTGTTACAAATTGAAACAACTGTTTTCTATCTTAATACATTTTCATCACAGACATAAAATAAATGTATTCCTGTGATGGCAAAGCTGAATTTTCAGCAGTCGTTTTAACTTCAGTGTCACATGATCCTTCATGGATTGGTTCTTTTAAAAAAAAATCTTATCACATTTTAAAATTCTTGTGCTTATTTTTTTATTTTTATTTTATTTTTATTTTTTTTATGATGAAGTCAAGTAGCTTCGAAAGAGATGAGTTTTCAGCTGTCGCTTGAAAATTGTCAGGGATTCAGCATTCCGGATAGGGGTGGGAAGATCGTTCCACCAGCCAGGAACGGTGAACGAGAATGTTCTGGAAAGTGATTTTGAGCCTCTCTGTGATGGTACCACGAGGCGTCGCTCACTAACAGTACAAAAAATGTTAGAATTTGTTGTACTGCTTTTAATTTATGCTTATCTGCATATTATACTGATTTCTGAAGATCATGTGACACTGAAGACTGGAGTAATGATGCTGAACATACAGCTGCGCATCACAGAAATACATTACAGTTTAACAGAGATTCACATAGAAAACAGCTGTTTTACATTATAATAATATTTCACATTTTTTAAAGTATATTTGATTAAATAATTACAGCCTTGGTGAGCAGAAGAGACTTCTTTCAAAAGCAGTAAAACATCTTAATTATTCCCAAATTTGACCGGCGGTCTAAGACACGACTCATATCTGATATCTGTTTAGATTCACCCAAAAGTTTCCATCGGTGATCACTTTTACATTTTGAACAGCCTTATGCTAAATCATCTTTTCAAATGTCTGCAAAAGTGCGCAAGATTGAGTAAGTTAGACTAAAGCAACAGCTGCTGTGGTTCTTGTTGAAGCTGAAATCCTGTACCCGCGATTAGTCATACAAATGTTTGGAGAAGCAGTGGGTGAAACATTTCTGCTTTTTGAGTTTGAGTTGGATGTACTTTTATATCCAACTTCATATAAAGAGCTGAGCGATAAGTATTCCAGAGATGTATAATGATGAGCTGCGAGTTTCACTGATGGTTTGTGTCTTTGGTTCAGAGCGTCAGTCGGAGCTGCCCACTCAGAGTAAGGCCAGTTTTCCCAGCCTGCTCAGCGACCCTGACCCAGACTCCTCTAACTCAGGCTTCGACAGCTCCGTGGCCAATCAGATCACAGAGTCTCTGGTGACCGGCCCGCGGCCGCCTCTGGAGAGTGAGTGTGACATGCTCGTGTTTCTGATGTGTTTTAAAGGAGAAGAATAAACATTTCCTGATCATTTACTCACCCCCATGTCATTCAAGATGTCTAAGTCTTTCTTTCTTCAGTCGCGAAGAAATTTAGTTCTTTGAGGAAACATTCCAGGATTGTTTTCCATATAGTGGACTTCAGTGGTGCTCAACGCATTGAAGGTTAAAATGCAGCTTCAAAGAGCTCTACACGATCCCAGCCGAGGAATAAGAGTCTTATCTAGCGAAACAATCGCTCATTTTCTTAAATATAATTAAAATGTATATACTTTTTAACCTCAAATGCTCGTTTTGCTCTCGCTCTGCTTGCGCACGCGCGTCTTCGCACATTATGTAATCGCGTTGGAAATGTCACGCGCGGTTAATTCTTCGTCTGTGTACTTCGGTTCAAAAAGGTAGGGCGAAAAACTAGGGCAAAAACGTCTGACATCGTTGTTTTACCTTTTTTTGTAAAAGGTATTTGACTTTCTTTTTTTTTGCACATTCGCTTTGTAAACACTGGGTTGGTGCTTCCACCTACGTCATGCGTGACCTTTCCAACGTGACTTCGTAATGAGTGAGGTCGAGCGAGAGCAAGACGAGCATTTGAGGTTAAAAAGTATATACATTTAAATTATATTTAAGAAAATTAGCAATCGTTTCGCTGGGTAAGACTCTTATTCCTTGGCTGGGATTGTGTAGAGCCCTTGGAAGCTGCATTAAAACTGCATTTTAACCTCCAACCCATTGATCCCCATTGAAGTCCACTGTATGGAGAACAATCCTGGAATGTTTTCCTAAGTATTTTCATTAAGACCATAAAGAATCATATCAGCTTGTGGAAAATGGGCATCTGATGACCCCTTCAAGAACCTTAATTTATTTTCAACAGAAGAAAGAAAGACATGAACATCTTGGATGACATGTGTGTGGGTAAATGATCAGGAAATTGTTATTCTGGAAGTGAACTGATCGTTTAACTGGTGTGCGGATGCAGCTAAACGTCTCGTTTCATCCCGTCGGTCAGGCCACTTCCGGCCCGAGTTCATCCGGCCCGCTCCGCCGCTGCTGGTGTGTGAGGACGAGCTGTCGTGGCTCAACCCGTGTGAGCCGGATCACCGGATACAGTGGGACCGGTCCATGTGTGTGCGCAACGGCACGGGAGTGGAGATCAAGCGCATCATGGCCAAAGCCTTCAAGAGTCCGCTATCAGCAGCACAGCAGACGCAGGTCAGACACAAAACCTTTCCTCAACACATCCAGGTCACGTCCCCAAACACAAGGGTTTTTGCATCGTGTCATTATTTTTGTGTCAATTAAATTGTAATGTATTTCTGTGATGCGCAGCTGTATTTTCAGCATCATTACTCCAGTCTTCAGTGTCACATGATCTTCAGAAATCATTCTAATATGCTGATTTGCTGCTCGAGAAACATTTCTGATTATTATCAATGTTGAAAACAGTTGTGCTACACAAAATAATCATATCTACAGCATTGTGAATAAGTTTTTGCCCCCTTCCTGGTTTTTTATTTTTTGCATATTTGTCACACTTAAAAGATTCAGATCATCAAACTAATTTTAATATTACTCAAAGGTAAGCCCGAGTAAATACAAAATGCCGTTTTGAAATAATGTTTTCATTTATTAAGGGAAAAAAGCTGTCCAAACCTGCCTGGCACTACGTGAAAAAGTAATTGCCCTTAACCCTTTAACGCGTACTGATTTAAATCAGCTTTCTAAAATAATGTGCTTAATCACAGTTCTTTCATGATTTAACAGGAGGAGGCAATTAATTTTTCATGTACCCAGGCAGGTTTGGAAAGCTTTTTTCCCTTAACAAATGAAATCATGATTTAAAAACTGCATTTTGTATTTACTCGGCTTATCTTTGAGTAATATTAAAATTAGTTTGATGATCTGAATATTTTAAATGTGACAAATATGCAAACAATTAAAAAAAAAAACAGGAAGGGGCAAAAACTTTTTCAAGGCACTGTATCTTATTTAAATTTTAAATTATTTATACATCATGTTAGTGTTTGTTGCACTGCCTTTATGCTTTTTAAAAATTACTTATTGCGATAATGAATGTCTTCAAGCTTAATTTTCATTAAGCAAAATATACAGTATCATTAAGTTTGGGGTCAGTAAAATAATTATTTTTCATACTTGTATTCATCAAGGATGCATTAAATTGATCAAAAGTGACAGTAAAGCCATTTATAATGTTACAGTAGATTTCTATTTCAAATAAATGCTGTTCTTCTGAACTTTCTATTCATCTGTGAATCCTGAAAAATAAAATGTATCAGTTTCCACAAAAATATTGTGCAGCACGACTGTGTTCAACATTGATAATAATCAGAAATGTTTCTCGAGCAGCAAATCAGCATATTAGAATGATTTCTGAAGATCATGTGACACTGAAGACTGGAGTAATGATGCTGAAAATACAGCTGCGCATCACAGAAATACATTACAGTTTAACAGATATTCACACAGAAAACAGCTGTTTTAGATTAGAATAATATTTCACTGTTTTTAGGGGTGTAACGGTATACAAACATGACGGTTCGGTACATACCTCGGTTTTGACGTCACGGTTCAGTATGGTTTCGGTACAGCAGGAGGAAAAAATACTAAACATATATATGTATTTTTTTTTTTTTTATGTTTTACTGAACAAATTGCTCTTTCTTTAAATAAATTCAATTATAATTAACCTTTTCTTTAAATCTACCTCATAAAATAAATAAAAAGTATCTATAGGCCTACAAATCTACCTCAGCTTCTGCTCTTAAACTATAGAGAGTGCTTTTACATTACTGTAATGCAGTGGTTCTCAACCCGCCGCTCGTCACGAACCCAAATGCAGCTCACCATGCTGAACACAATTAAAAAATTACTTTCAGTTTTACAATTCGTTTTAGTTTTTACATTCATTTAAAAATGTACTAAACCAATATAAGCTATAATGTTTTTATGTAAGATAATTTTGTTCAATTTTCAGACATGAGCAGACCTGTTCTCACATAATTAACGTTACGGATTTAACGAAACACTTACAAGCGCACACTTTGGCAGAATTCAATTCAAATAGTCATCAGCAGCCATTAGTTCGGGAAAATTGAGCATCAGAATGAACAAATTTGTTATTAAGGGAAAAAAAACAAAAAAGTGTATTAAAAACTTGTATGCAGACATGTAAATTGCACTCAATACAGTTTTTAAATTATAGGTTACAATTTATATTTGTTGTTGACATATAATCATTTACACAGTGGCTGTCATAACTTGCCTTATAAAAGATTTATTTAAATATACATTACAAAATTAATTTAACTTTGATCAAATAAATGCAGCCTATACAGTATGTGTAAATAAATGCAAAAACATAAAAAATCTTACCCGCCTGTAACTTTTGAATGGTAGTGTACATTTTTCTTGTTTATTCCAAACGATATTCATTACTGTAATACATATGTAACTTTGTAATAAATGAAAGGCAGTGCAACAATGTATAAATACTTAACAATGTATCGAATTTTCTTTGGTTCCTCATGGTTAACTCTCTCTCTTTCTCTCTCATCAGCTGCTTGGTGAACTGGAGAAGGACCCAAAGCTGGTTTATCACATCGGTCTGACTCCAGCCAAACTACCGGACCTGGTTGAGAACAACCCTCTGGTGGCCATCGAGATGCTCCTGAAGCTGATGTCCTCCAGCCAGATCACGGAGTATTTCTCTGTCCTGGTCAACATGGACATGTCGCTGCACTCCATGGAGGTGGTCAACAGGTGCGCCGTCCTTCTCATCAGGTTTATTTCAGTGCAGGTAAACAGGATCTTGTGCCCTGAGCTCTGAAGATGTTTGTTCTTTAATCTGTAGATTAACCACAGCAGTGGATCTTCCTCCTGAGTTCATCCATCTCTACATCTCCAACTGCATCTCCACGTGTGAGCAGATCAAAGACAAATACATGCAGGTAAACACACACCGCACACGGACCATGATGCACCTGTGTGAGCAACGTTCACAGGCCACACAGAGGACAGACTCATGCATTCAGTCAACATGATCTTCAGGAAATCATTATTAATTAACAGTGTTATGGAATTGAATGGGTGTGAATCTGTATGGAGATAAGTGAAAAAAATTAAGGAATTCAAGGCACATATAAAAAAAAATTTATTAAAAAAGATCAATAAAAAAATCCATCAGTGTTTTTTTAACAAAATAAGAATCAAGATTTTTCAAATGTTATGCATGCTTTAATGCACTTATCAAAAATGGCTAAAGCAGTCAAATGTCAGAATTGTGGTTTTAATGACACAAAGAAGTGTTCAAAATGCATAATTTATCTTACAGTCTGCAAAGGATTGGAAAAAGAACTTTACATAAACACAAGTTTATAAATGTGACCCTGGAGCACAAAACCAGTCATAAGGGTCAGTTTTCTGAAATTGAGATGTATGCATCATCTGAAAGCTGAATAAATAATCTTTCCATTGGTGTATGGTTTGTTAGGATAGGACAATATTTGGCCGAGATACAACTATTTGTAAATCTGGAATCTGAGGGTGCAAAAAAAATCTAAATATTTAGAAAATCATCTTTAAAGTTGTTCAAATGAAGTTCTTAGCAATGCATATTACTAATTAAACATTTAATTTTGATATATTTATGGTAGGACATTTACAAAATATCTTCATGGAACATGATCTTTACTTAATATCCTAATGATTTCTGGCATAAAATAAAAATGTATAATTTTGACCCATACAATGTATTGTTGGCTATTGCTACAAATATACCCCAGCGACTTAACACTGCTTTTGTGCTCCAGGGTCACATATAAGCTTTTTTAACCAGCTGTGAATTTGTGTCTCTGTTTGGATGCAGAAAAGGAGGGAAAATCTGCTCATGTTTGCATTTTCTTCTGTCTCTGATCATAATTCTGATCAAGAAATCAGGATCAGGCATCAAATAACGTCATACGTGTGAAAATAGGCTGAGAAGTCGATGTAATGTGGCTCAGATTCAGACAGGAATCGTGTGTTTGTGGTGTTTTTCTGCTGATTAATGGAGAATATGAGACTAATTCACCACACAAATGATTCTCAAAAGCGAAAATGCTACAAAACGCATCATATTTAGAAAGAACGTGTGACGTGAAACAGCAAAACAGACACTATTTTTGGAAGCAGCAGCCAAAATGAGTTAGAAACTTGTATTGATTTCATTCATATCACATAATGCAGGACCGTGTGATCAGTGATTTCATCAGTACATTTATAGTAGAACAAACTTTATTATGCTGGATAGCATATCCTAACATTATTTTGAAAATAATATTTTCTAAATTTATTTAATGGCAGGCAATATTATTTTAAAATTTACAATATGAATTTAAAATATTTAAAATGTATGCAGTCAGTGAAAGCGTGTGTCATCCTGAATTTTAACAAAACTACTGCACACTCAACTCGTCTGATTTGCTGTTAATTGATTTCTGTGAACTACGTTATATAGATACAATGTTACAGCAGTTATTTGGCCACATAATAGCTAACTAGGGATGTAACGATATCAAAATCTCACGATACAATACTTATTGCGATATTTAAAAAGAAAAAGAAAATGAAGAATCAGAGGGAAAAAAAGTGTACATTTTAAAGTTATTCTATCTAATGCACTTTGAGAGTCAAAATTAAGAGCTGCAACCCATGTTCTTAACTAAGAAAACTTAAGTCAGAAGAAAGTCAGTGAATTGACTCGTACCTGAACTTTAAAGCGGACTCAACCCTCTTTATTTGTGATATACTGTCTCAGACTAAACTACATTCACACTGGTGTTTGAGGAAGCCAAACACATTAGAATATAATAATAACAATGACATCAGTAGCCATATATTGTAATACAATTGCACTGTAAAATAAATGAAAATGGATATTTCATAGGTATATTATTTTTGCTTTACACTACAGCAGGGAAATTACAATACTACTTTCCTGATTTCTACACTTGAAAGAGATATTTTGAATTTGGACTGCATTTAAACGGCTAGCTGTCTGCAGTTCTTACTGCACTTTAAAGCTTTTATTTTGAAGGAAACTCCAGCTTCAGTGAAAACAGGCTTATAAAAACAAAAACACATCTCACTACAAATCTAGTGAAACGCTGTAATCATCTGCCGTGAAAATAAAGCATAACTGTTGTTCCCAAACGCGTGCTAAACTCACAGCACATGAAATAAAGGAGTTGTCTGCATTCATTCAGTGTGAACGAGTCGTTCTGAGACGCAGAAAACACAGGATCACGAGCTGATCGTCTGAACCAAGTGTGTGCTTCACTTTGAAACAGACTTGATGAAGAGATGAAGCATATAGTGCTTTCGGTTTGAGTTCGTTTAACAGATACTGTGCCAAAGCATAATGCCCCAAAACACAACTTTAAACACCTATTATGTTAGAATAAGAAGTTTAAATATATTTTAAAACTACAGTTTTTGCCTGGAAGACCTATCGTTTCATATCGTCATGTGACCACGATAATATCGTTTTGCTATCGCGATATTGATAATATCATTACATCCCTATAGCTAACATAATCATATATGTAACATGGATTTTAAAGCCATTCTTCAGATGCTCTGAGTCTGGGGAAGTGTGTTATTGTTGTGTTGTTGTTGTGTCTCCTGAAGAACCGTCTGGTGCGTCTGGTGTGCGTCTTCCTCCAGTCCCTCATCAGGAATAAGATCATTAATGTTCAGGATCTGTTCATCGAGGTGCAGGCCTTCTGCATCGAGTTCAGCCGAATCCGTGAGGCCGCCGGTCTCTTCCGCCTCCTCAAGACTCTGGATAACGGAGAGATGCCAGCCGAGGGCAAGACGGCCAAATGAACTCAAGGACTAAAGCTGAGTCTCTCCTCTATTAAAGCACATGAGTTCAGCCTTTCAGCTCACAGAAGACGCCAGACTCAACGGCGTACGAACTCCATCTGTTTTCTGTTCTTACATGTACAACATGCTCTGCTATCGTGACCTGTTTTGATCCCAAACGCCATATTTTTTTGTCCATTAAAGTGATGGTTACTTGTACGCTCTCAGACGACGTGCTTCAGTTTGTGTGTCTGGAAACTCCTCGGCTTCAGCAAATGCATTTGTGATGAATTTAAAGTGGATTTATTTGGCTCAGTTTTACAGAAAGTCATAATGTTAATGTTTGTAATTTTCAGTGAATTTATAACAGCTAAGGGCCGTTGTTAGGCATGACGCGAAGCTGTTATGAATTCACTGTAAACCACGGCTTCACGGGGGTTATTGCTTTTATAAAACGGCTATTCCATATACGTACTTAGGTTTCACAAAATAAAACAGAGCAAATCAAGTGTAATGATATTAATAAAAACAGTATTCTTCCACCAAACAATGTAGCTCCTCAGAAACAGTTGTGGTTGCTACAAAGTGGTTGCCGAGCAACACACAAACGTAAACAAAGGAGTATGTTACTTTGTAGAGTAATTTACAACAGCTTCGAACGCGGCTCAGCCAATCAGAATCAAGCACCGGAACTCTCCGCTTTATAAATGGCCGCGAGAAACAGCGTTATAAAAATGAATTCAACAGTAATAATATGTGAAGTATAAAAGTCCATAAAAAAACATTGGTATGTTATTGGTAGAGTAAATTGTTCAAAATTAGTGTTTTGTTAGTCCATTACAAATATTAAAAAGCTTACATGTTAGTTTTACGTCTTCATAGAAGGCAGTGGCTATTTGCAGTGTAAGTCGCATATTTTAGATGCTGTTTACACTAATTAATAACAAGTATTTATGGATGCACTATTTACACTAAGTAAAAATAGCAATATATTCTATTTACACCAGTGTTTTATTTGCAATAGTCGTTAGATATTATTTATAGACTATAAATAGTGGCAGATGCTGTTCAGTTTTGTTGTACATTATCAGGATGCAATAGTAATGTAGAGTGTAAATGATTATATTTATTCAAAAATATTAATGGATGCCATTATTGGGACAATAAAGCCCTCCATAGACCTAGGCTATACCCCTAATCCTGATATAGAAACTACAAGGGTTCATGAAAATGTGTTTGGATTTCGTTAGACCCTGCATTAAATCCCTCGGCTCTTTCAACTGTAACGGTGCTTTAAAAGAAGAAGCGCCGTATTTATTAAAGAGGAGCTCACGCATTAAAAAGTAGCAAATGCATATGTTTGTGTGCAAGCATAGGACCATTTGTGTTGTGTTTTGCTAATTTCGTTGTGTTGTGCATTACTGGGCCACCGTAGTTTAAATCTGGGTGAGAGGATAATTTACATTTGGAGACAATATAAACCATCAGCCTAATGAGATTTACTGGTAACATTTTACCAATAACAATAAGGTTCCATTTGTTAAGAGTTATATACATTAGTTAACATGAACTAACAAAGAAAAATATAAAGCCAAAAAGGAAAATTAACTATAAATGTGCTCATCCTCAGTTCATCCGAGATGAGTTTGTTTCTTCATCAGGTTTGTAGAAATGTAGCATTGCATCAGTGTCTCAGCAATGGATGCTCTGCAGTGAATGGGTGCCGTCAGAATGAGAGTCCAAACAGCTGATAAAAACATCACAATAATCCACAGCACTCCAGTCCATCAGTGAACATCTGGAGAAGACAAAAGCTGAAACATTTTCCACTTTTCACTGGAGGAAGAGCTTTTTTTTTTTTTTTATTTTATTTTAGTTAAAAACGTCTTAATGCTGGATTTGTTAAAGCTTTTGTCTTCTCCAGATGTTAACTGATGGACTGGAGTGCTGTGGATTACTTGTGGATTATTGTGATGTTTTTATCAGCTCTCATTCTGACGGCACCCATTCACTGCAGGGCATCCATTGGTAATAATAGATCATTAAAATCAAAGTTGTATCTGTTAATTTTATTCAATGGACCTGAGCTAACGTTAACTAACAATGAACAGTTAGTTTGTTAGTTGTTGCATTAACTAATAGGATCTTATTGTAAAATGTTACCTAATAGTATGTTAGTAGTATGAATAGTACGAAACGAGCACAAACACTTGTTAAAAAATGTTTTTTATTTGCAGATTCACTTCCATTCGAACATGTACATCGGATTCAGAGACTGACCGTGTGTTTATTAACATTTGTAGGCTGAAATATCTGAACTACAAAAGAAAAACTGGGCTGACTTTGTATTCCAAATACGCGCACAGTGCTCAAAGACATAAACAGACATGACCTTTGACCTTTGCTTTAACCCCGGTTAAGCCTGAGGTTAATGAAGACAAGCGCATCATTCAGGGTTTCAGTGAATTTTCATGCCATTTATATATATTTTGAATTAATTGATTTATTTATTATTCATTTATTATTCGAGTGTCAAGAACAGTTTATTTATATTCTCTATAGAACTTCCTATCATGTTCATGATATCTGTATGATGGTGGGAACCCAATAACTGAGCAACAACTTTAAAACATGAAAGAAAAATAAAAGCAGGCGTAAAATCCTGCGCTTCTAGATTCGTCTCATTCCTCGAGCCATGAGGCAGGCGAACACCGTCATCACCATCTTGGGCTTGACCTCCACCAGATCCTCCGGCAGCGCATACACTCGCGCTCCGATCTTCCTCGCCATAGAGATCGCGTACCTGAGAACACATCGGTGAGTTTGACATGCTGTTTGATTTTCAACAGAGTTTGAACAGTTCTGGGTTCAGTAGAAGTTCAGTTCTGACTTTCTCTAGCAATTCTGAGTTTATATCTCACAATTTAGATTTTATTGTAATTCTGAGTTTATATCTCACAATTTAGATTTTATTGTAATTCTGAGTTTATATCTCACAATTTAGATTTTATTGTAATTCTGAGTTTATATCTCACAATTTAGATTTTATTGTAATTCTGAGTTTATATCTTGCAATTCTGACTTTCTTGTAATACTAAGTTTATATCTCGCAATTCTGACTTGTAATTCTGAGTTTATATCTCACAATTCTGACTTGTAATTCTGAGTTTATATCTCGCAATTCTGACTTTTTTCTCACAATTTGAGTTATTTCGCAATTTGACTTTTTTCTTGCAATTCTGACTTTTTTCTCACAATTCTGACTTTCTTGTAATACTAAGTTTATATCTCGCAATTCTGACTTTCTTGTAATTCTGAGTTTATATCTCACAATTCTGAGTTCATATTTCGCAATTTGACTTTTTTTCTTGCAATTCTGACTTTTTTCTCACAATTCTGACTTTGTCATAATACTGAGTTTATATCTCGCAATTCTGAGTTTATATTTCATAATTCTGACCTTTTCTCGTAGTTCTGAGTTGATATCTTGCAATTCAGACTTTTTTCTCACAATTTTGAGCTTATATCTCAATTCTGACTTTCATGTAATTCTGACTTTGAAGAAAATTGTAGACTTTTAAGAGAAATATTTTTTTCTGAGTGTCCCATTACACCATAGTGCTGAACTCATTTTTAACTCAGAACATCTGTGTAATGTTCATTAATATGCTAACGAGGAGTGTGACTCTGACGTACTTTGCGTTATTGAGTTTCTCTTCGTCTGTCAGGTCTTCTGCCTTGAGAAGGTCGTAGCGGATGGAGCCGGGCTGGATGGCGTCAATCAGGTCCAGGACAGGCATGCTGCTGCTTATGGATCCGTCCTGCAGAATCATAACAGAAGAGGTCAATTCTGATACAGATGGAATGCGTGTTTTTCTTCACGCTGAGCTGCTTACTTTAAAGCCGCTGATGGTGCCTTTGCCAGCCTGTGTGAGTGCGTCGTTAACCCAGGTCACGATGGTGTCGTCGTTGACCTTCTGCCCGTCTCCCAGATCCTCCAGGATGTTGAATGTGTATCTGCAGACAGAAGATGAGCGAGACCTTCAGCAGGCGTGTGGATCTCAAGCGTATGATTGTGTGTTTGCGTGGATCTGAAGCGTATGATCACGTGTTTGCGTGTCTGACCTCCTCATGAGCTGCCAGAGCAGAGCGAGCGTCAGTGTCCGATTGCCTTCGTTTAGATCCTGACCAGCGATTCCCACCAGAGAGAACTTGGCCTTCTTCTTCCCCAGTTCCACTGCGTAGTTACAGTTCTCCAGCTGCAGCACACAACACTCCAGTTACACACGCGTGTGTATGCGTGTGTGCGCGAGTGTGTGTGTGAGTGTGTGAATGTGTGTGTGAGTGTGTGTATGCGTGAGTGTGTCTGTGCGTGTGTGTGAGTGTGTGTGTGTGTGTGTGTGTGAATGTGAATGTGAATGTGTGAATGTGAGTGTGAGTGTGAGTGTGCGTGCGAGTGTGTGTGTGTGTGTGTGTGTGTGTGTGTGTGCGTGCGTGACTGTGTGCGTGCGTGTGTGTGTGTGTGTGTGTGTGCGCGTGACTGTGTGTGCACGTGTGTGAGTGTGTGCGTGCGTGTGTGTGTGTGTGTGTTTTCATTTTATATAATGAATGAACATAATTATTTTGTTACATTTTTAGTAATTTTTAAAGTACTTTGGTCATTTTACCCCAAACTATTACTATTTAGGTTTAAATTATTTTTATTTAATTTTTTTATTTATTTCCATTTAGTAATTTTAGTGCTTCAGCTTAAGCTAAATGAAAATTACTATTATAGTTTTTGTTAATATTTTGTTTTCGCTTCTATTTTTATACTTTCAGTTTTCATTTTAATTGTCATTTTATTATGTGCTTTTGTCTTTTTTTCCCCCCCAAAATATTACTATTTGGGTTTAATTTATTTTTATTTAATTTTTAGTTCAGGTTTATTTTTTATTTATTTTATTTCCAGTTAGTAATATTTTTAGTCCTTCAGCTTAAAATAAACATAAATTAGAGAAAAACATTTAGCGCATATAAATGAGTTCAAAACATAGACGAGTTCAAAAAAATTTGAAGTATATCATAATATTTCTATTTACTTTGAATTTTATTTCAATTAATAGAATGTTGGCAGCAAACAAGTCTGTTCTGAGTGGTAATTAATAATCTTGCAAAATCTTTTTTTTTTTCTTTGCTTTATGAAAGACAAGAAATGTAGATGCAAAAAGTTATGCCAAATAAGTGCTTTTGTTAAATAGCCAGTATAAAGAAGTGATGGAAATTAAAATGATAAAGAATAAATGTAAAATTTAAAAAGAGTTTAATAATTTAATTATAAAATAATATATAATGAAAACATATTTTTAAATTATAAATAAATATTTTACAAAATCTATTAAATATTTTATAATTATAAATATATATGTATATAATATAATTTTTTTTCGATTTAAATGTGTGATGTAATAGCGGAGTAGGTCCTTCCTAGGTCAAGGTGAAGGCAGAAGTTCACTTGTCCTTTCACTGGAAGCGTTTCATTGATAATCCTCTCTTGTAATGCATTTGTACCTTTTTCATGTTGCTGCCCAGTTTGGTATACGGTGGTTTGTTGACTTTGTCCCAGTCCACAGGAACCTTGATCTTTTCATAGAGCTGGAAGATCACCAGAGCATCGGCCAGATCCCTGGAAGAACACAGACAACACCGGCTCAGTGTCTTCAGCTGCGTTTGAAATCACATCCCAGCTGACGGGGAACGTTCTGGCAAGGTTCTCTTAAAGTTATGAGCAGTCATTCTTCCAGTATCCTCAATAAAACTCTGTTCAGTTGTCCAGTCTTTAATAACGTTCTCAACACGTTAGCACAACGTTATTCATACATGGTTCGTGGAGTGTTTTTCTGAAACATTTTAGTTGGATGTTCTTCTAACTAATTTTAAACATTAAAACATGTTACAAGTTGGTTCAGAGAACATTCAAAAGTAACATTCCCATAATGAGAAGAAGCAGTCGAGCAAGGCACTTGAGTATTGATATTTTCCCTTTCTTTAACTAAAAAAAAACCAAAAAACCTTGCACTGTGCTAGACTAACTGAGGCTTGTCACAGCACTTGTATATTGTTGCTCTCTCGTTGGTCTGATTGCTTCTACTTTGTAAGTCGCTTTGGATAAAAGCATCTGCTAAATGACTAAATGTAAATGTAAATAATGTTGCAAAATGATGAAATGTTATGCTTCTTTAAAGTTCTCTCTATCGTTCACACAAAAAAACATTTTTTAATCATTCATAAAATTGGACAATTTGATTTGATTCAGCTGGGATACTAGTGCACTACTTAGTCAAACCGTATTCATTATCAAGCGGTGCACGTTTTAAACAGTGGTTTGCTGCTCATTAGAGGCTTCTGAAAACAGAAATGCTTATTTTGCATTTGTCGAAATTAAAACTTTTTAAATTGAAAACAACTTTTTTTTTGCTTTGATGTATAATGTGAAGGTCATAATCACTGTATATACAGTAAATAGACTGTAGAAATAGTACGAATCAGCGATGCACCAAAATTATTTTTTTTACCGAAACTAAAATTAAAGTTTTCATTGAGCTGAAACTCAAAAAAAAGTTGATTTAAACATCAATTCATTAATGTATTTAATAAACAATACTCAAATAAAAAGAGTTGTATACAAGCATTTAAATTGCACATAAGCCCATTTTTATACTTATTAATGATATGATTATGTTTCTACTCTTATTACTGTTTCTAATTTGTTGTTGAAACAGTGATACAAAATTTTCATGACAAATTTATTTAAACATACATTAAAGGCACAGTATGTAATTTTCGTCGCTGGAGGGCGCGTATTCAAAATAAACAAAGAGACAAAGGCGTATGCGGTCGTCACCAGTGTATTAAAACACACAACATATTAAACCGTCTTTGGTGTTTCCATGTTTTCTACAAAACAAAACCGGAAATCGAGGGGTTATGACGTCATTGGCAGGCGACACAATGACACTATAGACACGCTCCGTGTCACTAGTTAAAATTGCTTATTTCTCTGGATTTAAATATTCCTCGAAATATTTGGGATAATGTAAGTACACAAGTCAGCAAAATATATTACACTGTTCTAGTGGTTTTTGGATATTTTAATAAAAAAATCTTACATGTTGTGCCTTTAATGCAAGATTAATGCATAGTGCATATATTTATCAAAATGCTGCTCTCTACCTGACTCGTGAGTTTATGGACACTGAATGTCTTTCCTGAGGTAAATGTAAACACGTCATCAGAGAAGCACTAATTAAATGTCAATTATTTCGACCCTTAAAAACAGCTTTGGATGAAACCAAAAGTTTCAGCAAAAAATGTTCTTTGTTGTCGAAATTTCGGTGCATCACTAAATTCTTAGCTGTTTATTATTATTTTTTATTTACTGTTATTCAATGACAATGTTATGCTGTTGTGTGTTTCTGACACTCACACGTAGAGATGATTGACGCGTGGATTGACGCCCAGTGAGTTCATCCAGTTCCTGAAGGTTCGCTCCTCTCTGGTCTCTCCTGACAGACATGAGAACATGATCACATCAGTTTAACATGATCTCTGAATATTGATCAGCAGCTTTACAATATATTGTAAACTAATTTATTTCTGTGATGCGCAGCTGTATTTTCAGCATCATTACTCCAGTCTTCAGTGTCACATGATCTTCAGAAATCAGTGCTGCTCAAGAAACATTTCTGATTATTATTATTATTATAAATATTGAAAACAGTTGAGTACATTTTTTTCAGGATTCTTTGATGAATAGAAAGATCCAATGATGGATGGATGGATCTTTTTGCAATATTTTTTAGCTGATAAAAACAACTTCTGACCATGGCATTGATCTATTTCAGTTCCCATTATTTACTTTCCATCATGTTGCTCCAAACCTGTATGATGTTTTGAAGAGTCTTGGGAATCAAACCGTTTCGGTTTCCATTTACTTTAATTATATGGACAAAAAAGTCAATGGAAGTCAATGGGAACTGAAACGGTTTGGTAGAAACCTCTTGTTTTGGGTTCAGCA